TGCCCTTCCCCTATAATGAGATTGATGCCTATCTTGGTTGCCATTCCTAGAGCCTTCATTCAGTAGCTGTTCGAAGCAGAAACAGGCACCCACAGCTAAGCACTGAACCATACTACTGGAATCCAGTTTTGGAGAGGGAAGAGGGATGAGCAAAGGAGCCAAGATGGTGCTGAAGAAACTGGCAGAAACAGTGGACCTGACCTACTGATAGCATGGAGACCCTAGTCATAAAGCTGAGGAAATAGCACTAGACCAAACCAAGCCCTCTGAATGTGGGTGCCAGCTAGGAGGCCAAGGCAGTCTATGGGACCTCTAACAGTAGAGCCAGTCTTTATCCCTGGAGTACAAAATTGGTGGGGAACATGGGAGGATGGGAAGGTGAGGGAATGGGGGATGGATATGTACATATGAGTAGTAATTAAAAAATAAAATAAAATAAAAGAATCTTAAGAATAGATCTGAAGACAAATTTTACGTTATGTGTGTCTTTTCATAAGGAAGAAATGGATAGAGAAAGTAGGTAGCTATAGAGTAAGTTTAGGTAATTGAGAAAGATGATTAGAGAAGTGGGTATGGAAAAAAATAATAAAATGATCTTAAAACCAAGGTGGAAAAATGGCAATTAACTAGAGGCCTGTGTGATACGGGAAATCAAACGTCAATGCTACTAGCCACAGGCAAATATTGGTGCTTCTATGGATAAGGGGGGAGACTTGGGCAGATTTGATATATATCAGTATTTAATGAGGGTTATATGTAAAAAAGCATTGAATTGTATCCTGATTCATATATGAATATATAATACTCTTAATTAATGGAATTACATTTTAACCAACAAATAGCTAGAAGCTCCTTTCAGACAGAAAAAAAATATGATTAAAATAGGTTTGTTAACTTTGCAAGTAATCAAATCTGAAAGATTTTATGGTAATAATAATTTTATATAACTCAGAAAATAAGTGGAAGAAAGCCAGGTAACTGGAACTCAGATGGGAAGCTCTGATTAACTCTCAGGAAATGACTGACTTTCCAGTAATCAACATGAAAAAGGCAATCAGGTGAGTGTATAGTGTGTGCCACTGTGGATTCTGTGATGTTCAGGGTTCGTAATTTAGCCTTCTTGCTGATTCATTAGCAATGTGAGTACTCAGCATATATTAATGATCCACAAGGAAAAGATTAATGGCATTCTACAGGTTCAGAGGCTCTCATAAGAGCTTAAGAAATAAATATGCAATGCTACAATCTTTTAGAATACCACAGCTGTTACAAAAGGAGGCTGTGTGAACTGGTGATGGAAGAAAGCCCTGAAGCCTCTCTTGTTTTGTTTTGGATGGGACTGCTCTTAGAGGATGTCAGAACAAGATTCCTGAACTCTTTCAGATGGAAAGAAACATATGTAAATGAATGCTTTGAAAAGATCAATCACTTAAACAAAATAAAAGCAAAAGTCATGTAACACATTTGAATGACTGAGTAGCAACAATGATCAGATTTGGGAGGACTTGGACAGAGCAGGTTGAGGTGGGGTCCAAGAGAGGCTGGGCCTGGCTGGGAAAGGTGGGTACAATTCTTTCTGAGAATCTAAGTCTCATACTAAAGTGGAGCCTGTTGTCACATTTACCAACAGAAGAGACACGTGTGGGCAAAAAATGACCACTGGGATGCCAACATGTTCTGTGCCCTCTCTGCTGTAATCCATTTTTAAGGACTAACACTGTAGCCCTCAAAGATTTATGACTCATTTTTATTTTTATTTTTAGATTTGCTTGCTTGTTTTACCTTACATGTTGACAAATGTGTGCCTTGATGTATACATGTGCACCATATGTATCCAGTGCCCATTGAGGCCAAAGGAAGACATCCCTCTTGGGCTGGAGTTACATATGGCTCTAAGCTGTCAAATGTGCATGCTGAGAACAGAACTTTGTTCTCTGCAAGAACAGCAAGTGCTCTTAACCAGCGAACAATGCTCCAAGCTCCTCAATTATTATTATTATTGTTTTACAAATATTCACTATTACAGACTTGAAGTTTCATGGAGAAAAGCACCATTACCAGGCCAGTTCCAGTGATGGTAAACGTCTTCTAAAGACACATCTGGAACCTGATCAGATGATCTGATTATTGGTTTCTTCATAGTGACTCTTTCCTTTACTTATCATTTTAATTTACTGGGCAAGATTATGTTTTAATATTATGTTACCATTAGGGTTGTTGCCACTAAAATATTAAGTAGAGCTATATGTTGATTAAAAAATCCTCAGTATGGGCAGATTATTAATGAATGTCCTGTATTTTACTTATTGTAACAAAACAATGAAGAAGTAACTGAACTGTAGTTCATTTTTCTGACTTTAGAATTGGAATAAAAGGAACCAACTACATGAATAAGATGATTCCTGGAACTACATCACACATCTCATGACCCATGTTTTCTTGATGCACTGGCTCTTTACATCCACAAAATGGGAAAATCATAAATGGTAGTTATAGAAAGGCTGTTGTATGCCTCATTTTGTCTCTCCATCTAAATTTCTGGGTGTGCAGGGATCCACTGTACTCTTATCCCAGTCTTTGGAACTTTAATATTGAGGATTCCTCATGCTGGCACATGAATAAACAGGATGTGCTCTATGACCCACAACTCCAGAGACTGCATTGGCATCAACACAAGTGGCTCTTGGCACTGTGCTTCTTGGGTGACAGAAGCCATCACAGCAGGAGTGCCAACATGACAGGCTTATGGGCTACTTTGTATGCCCTGTTCTGGCTGGAAGGCCATTTTCTGTCTGAGACAGAGCCTCCTATAAGGAAGAGATTGCTTCCCAGTGTCATTTTCTGAAGTTGGAATTCAAGAGAAACATTCATAACTCAATGCATAAAATATAATCTAGATAGCTTTAGTGACACTTCATGTTTTCTAGGAGGTGAAATCAACAAGTTACATTTGCTTCTTTCTAATCCTTATGACTGCATGTTGGCACACACATGCTCTCTCTCTTATCCAACCCTGACCAGTTGTTCTTTTATTATCCCATATTCAAAATTTATTTATAGGGGGAGTGTCTTATCTGCTCAAATAGAAAAACTTCCATGTTTGACTGCAGCATTTCTCCCAGTGTGTTTGGATCAGAAGATTTCACCAAAAAAGTTTGTTCTTAATATTACATGTTGTAGCCCACAGACTGTACCTCTAGCAGCACACCAGGTTCCCTAATTCTTCTTCTCTGAACCTCTGAACCTTTCCTTATAATCTATCTCCATTCCTTTATTTTCCACTGACTGGAAAAACTGCTGTCTACTCGGGAAGCACAGCACCACACTAGGCTGGGACTTAGGTAGAAGAACTTTGTTCTCCATACTGTCTCAATCAACTCTTTCCTGTCATCCCTTTCGCCCTTTCCTTTTAGCCCAAAATTCTACTGTTAACCCCAGAACAGCTTTCAGCCAGAGACTAGATATACAAGGGACAGGTCTTAAGATAGTAAAGGGAATTTATAGCAAGCCCACAGCTAACGTCATCTTAAATGAAAAGAAATTCAACTCATTTGCACTAAAATCAGGCACAGGGGAGGACACTCTGAAAAGGATACCAGTGGTGCAGGAATTTAAACTATCAATCAATAAATGGGATCTCATAAGTTTAAAAACTTCTATATAGCAAAGGACACCATTATTCAAGCAAAGCAGCAGTCTACAGCTTAGGAAAGAATATTTGCTAATTACCCACCTGAGAGAGTGGTAGCATCTAGAATAAATAAATAACTGAACATCAAGAAAACAAATAACCCAACAGAGAAATGGGGCATAGAGCCAAACGGAGTTCTCAAAAAAATGAAACCCAAGTGGCTAAGAAACACTTCAAAATCTGTCACCATCCTTAGCCACCAAGAAAATGTACATTAAAACTACATTGAGATTTCATCCCTTTTCCTTCAGAACTGTCAATAAACAACAGCACATGCTTGAAAGAATAAGGGAAATAAAGGAAAATTTATTCATTACTAGAGGGACTGCAGACTGGGTACGTCCACTATGGAAATCAGTATGGAGATTCCTCAGGAAGCATAAAGATGGTCTACCTTAAGGCCTAACTATACCACTCTTAGGCATATGGACAGAGATACTGGCTTATCCTTGTAACCATATAGCCAAAAATTAGAAACAGCCTAGATGCCCATCATCAGATGAATGGATATTGAAAAGGTGGTACATTTTCACAATGGAATCGAACTCACTATTCAGAAATTATGAAATTTGTAAGTGAACAGAGTAGTGCTACAATGAATCATCCTAAGTGATGTAACTCAGGAAAGGTAAATCCTACATGTTCTTTTCTAATGTGTGGATGTCAGTTTTTAAGCTCTCTCTCTCTCTCTCTCTCTCTCTCTCTCTCTGTGTGTGTGTGTGTGTGTGTGTGTGTGTGTGTGTGTGTGTGTGTTTCAATCCAAATAACCATAGAAGTTGGGTAATTAGCAAGGGGCCAGGAGGTATGGTGGATATTCCAAGGAAGGAGCAACGCAATATAGTGTTCTAACAGAGATAAAGGAGAAATTAAAGTGATCGAAAGTGGAGGCAGATGCGAGCACAGGAAAAGGAAGGCAATATGGTGTGGGATAATTAACACTGAAAGCCTTTGGCAAAGCTGTGTGTAAAGCTTTCTAAATTGTAGAAGCTTTCCAAATTGTATACAATGGTGGGTCTCCACCTTCCTATTGCTGAGACCCTTTAATACAATTCCTCATGCTGTAGTGACTCCCAGCCATAACATTATTTTCACTGCTACTTCATAACTGTTATTTAGCCATTGTTATAAACCATAATATAAGTATCTGATATGCAGGATATCTAGCCAGAGACCCAGGTGAAATGGTTACTCATCCACCCCCATGAGGCCATGACCCGCAAGTTGAGAACCTCTGGTATATACCTATAAAAAGAATTTAAATTGAGTCACAGTATAATGAGGGAGGAAAAGTCCCAAATAGATATCTTTTATAAATTTGAAACACTTCATGAATTTGTGTATCATCCCTATACAGGGGCCATGCTAGTCTTCTCTGTACCATTCCTATTTTAGTATGTGTGCTGCCAAAGCAAGCACACCAAATAGGTATCTAATGCCAAATGTCAAACTGCCAGTGCCCACAATGGTTTATATCTTCTTGAGTCATTGGCCAAAAGGATCCCACAAACACCCCCCAAAATTACAGAATATTTCCAAGACAGTTGGTTACCTTCCAGAACCTGATAATAAAACCCTAGTGCTGAAGACACCACTTATTTATATCATTGAACATGGAGAAGCTGGTTCCTGGCTAGAAGCTAGAATGCAGACTCATGGAGAAGAAAAGTAATCATCAATCCAGTTCATCTACAAAACATGCTGTATACAACAGAGACATACCCAAAAAGCCAACTGGTACTGTAACAGTGCCATAAATGTTATGCAGGTAACCAGGTACCTTCAAAATTGAATTTAAGGCCCACACTATGAGATGGAAACCATATCTGACACTGGCAAAGTGGCCAATAACTTTAGATTAGATAGATCATAGGCCCTGTAGAAAAATCTACTAATATTATTCTGCTAAAAGAATATAGCATTAAAATGGCTCCTAATAACATATTGCAAAGTGCATCACGCAAACACTGTAAGATTCTTTTTTGGTAGATGGTAATTGACACAGAGACCCACAGCTGGACAATGTTCAGAGAGGAAGAGACATTGCCACATTAAGCCCTATTTAGTTTTGATACAGAATTTAAGTTTAACTTTCACTATAAAATGCCCCTGATCAAATTTCTAAATGTAGTGTTTGCCACTGGATAAGGATTCATCAGTGTGTGATTTGATTCAGCGGGATGTGACTAGAAGCTTCAAAGGTACCAAGAGAACTTGGAGACCATTCTATAGATAGCAATGAAATCAGAGATTTAAAGCTAGAAAGGACTTAGGAATCAATACAGTCCCCTAACAGCACAAAGGAGAAATAAATGGAAAATATAACTAAGACAAATAGCCTAAGAATTATTTATTTTGTTGAAAGAGAATGCAGGAGAGTGCTTTCTAATTACAAATATGTACAGGACAAGAGTTTGAGGGTATTCTTTCACTATCCAACACATCACATACAAACCCAATAACACACAAGGGTGAACAGTGATAATATTTAGGCATTCATGCCTAATCAAGGAAAATAGTGAAATTATGTTAGTAAGATCAACAAATTAAAAAATGGATAATTAAGCTCTCAATAACCTGAGATGTTCTAAGAATTTTTGAGAGCTTCAATTTGAACATCTGTATTGTTTTCAGCACCCATATCTCTCTTTGATATCTACATAGCAATTTTTAGATCCCAAAGCATCTTTTTATATAACTTAATAAATAGAGACTAAAACTAATAAAATGGGTATTAATACCCCCTTATCCTTTCTAGAAACTAAAGAACATAGAAAATACAGTTACACAATAATTTTAGTTAATAAATAGCAGGCATTGAAAAAAATCTAAGCCTGGGTAATAATACAGTTAACAACAAATGAACCTGAAGTCAAATCAAAAGAATATAAATAGACCATAAAAAGAAAGGAAGATAATACATACAAAAATAGGGAAAATACAGTTGAGACATTCAGTGAAATACTAATATTTTTATGGAAAAAGAGACTGTATTGGGATAATTAGTCTTGACAACTTGCTACAGGCAAACAATTACTTCCATACAAGTTTGGGTCATCTAGTATTACCCTTCAGAACAGTTTGAGAGTGGCATCATTGTGAAGTCGAAGCCAGCAATCAAGATCTGATGATTCACCTGCACAAAGTAATACCCTCTAAGATAATAACTGAAGTAACATTTATGTCTGTCAATAGCACATAACCCAAATGGTTAATGAATGGTGTCAATACCTCATGAGGTTTAAAACAAAGTAATAAAATAACTATGTCCTTGCCTGGCAAAAAGACTCATCAGATAAGGATGTTTGCAGTAATGCACAACTGAACAGTAGAAGGAAAGATTCGACTCCGCAAGCAATCCTCTGACTTTAAAAGTTGTATTCAAATGTAACAATATTTACCTTCCAAACACTTCAAAGAAAGCACAAGTGTAAAAACATTTTGAGATAATTTCCATTTGTTATGTGCATGTACAAAAACAAAAAAAGAGTACATGTGTACACTTTTGGATATATTGCACCTAAAAAATAAAACTGGAAGTCAGCACAAAGAACTGATGAGCACAGTTACCCAAGTTCGGGTGGAAGGGAGGGCTGTACAGATGGGGTGGGACTGGGATTCAAAGATTGCTCATTCAATACATTTTTATAACTTTTGATTTTTGCATTCAAACTCTTTGATCACATATTCAATTTCTTTAATCATAAGAAGAGTAGCAGAGCAAGTAAAGGTGAAAATATATATATTCATTTAATCTAAAAATGTTTATTCAACAACTCTAGTGTGGCAGAAGCTGCATCAGGCATGGGAGAATAAAGAATGACAATCCCGGTACTTAAGGAGCATGGAGCCTGGAGAAAGAAGCTGACAGGCAATCATGACCTAGATATGAAACCTGAGTGACTGAGCAAAGAAAACTGCACCAGTGGAAACCAAAGTCAAAAGGGAAAGCCATTTCAAGAAAAAAATGTCCTTGATAGGAGGTAGGCTACCATTTGATGAAATGTAGGCTTCATGAAAATTGAAACTTCTTCAGTGAGTGCATAAGCAGCTGGCATTCAGGAAGATTCTCAAACAGCAATTTGAGTGTTCTCCTGAGGCCAGAAGTCTAGAAGAGAAGACAAAAAGACAAACAGACAAACAAACAAAAAACCCACAAGGAATCATTAGCAGTGTCACCCTGGTTAGATTTAGGACATGTTTCATTTTGTGCGAAGTTTCTACTCAAGATTTCTGTTATTCACACAAAAAAGAGGACTGAACTATTTTGAAATAAGATAAGCAAGTGGTTTAAAACATAAAAAGTCCTTTGGAAAAAATATGACACTATAAAATGAAAACTGTATTAAAATAACGGCACTAGGTGATGTAATATTCCCAAAGTTGGGAATCTGACATCAGGTGAGTTGGCTAAGGCCATTTTATGATTTATTTCATAGCAATGATTCCTCAATACAGTATTACTCAAAAAGACACTCAGATTTGAATCAACTTTCTGCTATCTTTGATCATTTAAGGAAATCAATTTATGTTGAATATTAATTACTCCCAAAATCAGCTGGGAGGACTTGATGCTAATGAGGCCCATTTTTGCCTGTTTGTCCTGTTGGTGACAGGCGCCACATAAGGAAAAGCATGAGGGCTTTTATAGGCACTCCTAATCAAATCCAGATGTCTTCCTTGTTTGGTGTCAGTCACAAAAGGAATTTGAATCTTGATGAGCAACAACTATATAGAGAATGTAGCAGGAAGGTTTGGGTTGCCCTTGACTCTCATGAAAGAGTACTGGCTTGGTTATCTGCTACGTCCTTGAAGACTTTTTCCTTTTCTTTCTTTTTCTTTTTTACCTTTTTTGGAAGACAAAAGGATTTTAAAAAGTAGGACACAAATGACTCACTCCACCAAAATAAAGGAAATTCCAAGGTGACAAGTGTTTAGTGGGATTGACTGTCTCCAGTTTCTCGTAGATGTTCTTGTCAACCAGACAACAATGCGTTGCTCCCGTTTTTATTCCCAACATAACTTTGCCATGCAGAAGAAACTCACAGACATAAAACACATTTTCAGACTCCATCTCCAGCTCTGCCAAGGATGGAGTTTACAAGTGTAACAATGGCAGCTGTCCCCACTTTAAGATGAAGGCTCCCCCATCACTCACTATCAAGAACAGCTGGGGAAAGTAGAAGTAGAGTCATTACCTTGCAGATTATGATCTGTTGGAACAGTGCCCAAATTATCAACACAGAGGCTGAGTGACATCAGTTAATGCCTGATAACCCCTTTTACATTTGTGTTTTATTTCAGCAAAAGAAATTAGCAGTATCACATATGCAAAAGCAAACAAAGCATTCAGAATTATTACAACAATTGAGATGTAAATCTGCTTCTTTTTAGATACTTTGAACTGCTTATATTAAAGATCAGAAAAAAAAAAAGATCAGCATGTATGTTACTCAGTTCAATTTCCCAAAAGGTCACAAACAAATAAAAGAGACTTGCATTTGGGAAGAAAATAAATAAAATTGTTATACTTTTCAAATTCTCCCAGGGCATATGATCCAATTTTGATCATTTGATGTAGGCAAAGATTTGATGTAGGAAAGAAAATAAACTGATCTTATATACTTAGCTTAATTTATAATATAAATTCAGGAAATATGCTAAATTTTTCAATCACTCATGTATCCAGAAGGCCAAAATGGGTTAACAGAATATCCTGGAAGGTGAGAAAAAAGAAACTAAGAGTCTGCAGTGGACAACGGAATGTGATGGATGGCTCGCATACCCCATAAGGGCCATGAACATTTTTCTGAAGATATGAACCTGCAAGTGTAAATGCTGTGAGCATGACTGCGTCATCAGTTAAAAGAAAAACGTACAGAAGATGAAAGAGGAAAAAATCAGAAAACAAGAAGGCACTAGATTTTGTAAAGAAACAGATGTTCATTTTGTCTTTTCCTTGGAAACATCATAAAGTAAAGACCAGATAACCCAAGGATCAGATTGCTGAGAGATGGCTGTCATACCTGGAGAACAGGTTCATTTCACTACAAGTTGTCAGTATTTAGGTGAAGGAAGTAAGACTCAATCTGTAGTATAGAATGAGGAAAAATCAGATAGTGTTTGTAACCACGATTCACACATCACTCTTCCTACAGTCCTGTACCTAACTGAAGTTTCTAATTGATTCAAACACTTTAGGTGTCTTAATGAGGTTTCAATAACATCCAATTCATCATGATATATATAGTAAAGTAGGAGATTGAGAATCAGGCAGAATCTAGAAAGGCCAGTGAACCATGATTGTGCTCCTTTATGCACAGGAATTGTTTAAATGCAGCTCATGGACCATTTCTTCATAAAATTCAACTATACTGTAATCCTATATTATCCATTTTGTAAAGACGAGGACCTTCAGT